CATCAGCATAGAAATGACAATAGATACGTACCATACCTTGTCAGGATGGAGCCATGGGGCAGCAAATGTAATGAAAAGAGAAGGTATCCTAAAACTGAACCCTGTGGAACCCCATAAGGAAGAGGAGCGGAGCCCAAGGCTCATTCTCACACTTCTATTGAAGAGATAAGGCTTAAACCAGTCCAGTGCAGTACCACGAATGCCAACAAGGTGGTTCATTTCCAACCACTAAAGTGACATTAGAGTCACTCTAGTGGTTGGGAAGACATTAGAGTGTTTTGGTCCAGAGTGTCAAAGATTGTTGTCAAATCTAAGAGGACAGGAATTATATGGTCCCCAGAGTCATTTTCCAAGAGGATGTCATTACCAATCTTAACAAAGCTGACTCAGTGCTATGCATAGATTTTAAAGCACACTCAAACACCTCCAGGACACCATGTTTATCTAAAAATGACTTGAGTGTAAACAACATTCTCTAAGATTTAACTAATAAAACGCAGCTTAGAGATGGGCGTGGAGTTAGCCATGGTGCTGCCATCAAGACCAGGTTTTAGCAGGGATTAGAACACGCATGCATGTTTCAAACTCAAAGGTACAACTCCAGAGGAAAGACTACTGTTTATAATGTCCAAAACTGACTGTCCATTAACAGAGAACACTGATTTCAGGAAACTGGGGGGAGAGCGTCATGGGGAGAACCTGGTGGCTTACTGTGGCCAATCAGATCTTCTACAAATAGATGTTTATACTTAGACAAGTTTTATTGTCATTTTGTATAAACTGTGTATAGAAAACAAAATTTCAGTTAATGAGCAGCAGCCTAGCAGTTAAATGAACATTCCAATGATAGAGATAGAGGCTGAATTATAAAGATATTGGCTCAGACTCCTCCAGAGCTGCAGAAAAAGTAATATGAATAGATGGGTCAGATGCAGGAGCAGTCCTCCTAGCAGTAGCCACTTTATAAAAAAAAGTTCAGGAAGCTACCACAAGCCCGAGAAGATGCCTCCCATCTGACAGGCTGGGGGGATTAAAAAGAGCAAAAATTTCGCTGCAGAGGAGAGAGAGACATAATTTTTACACCTGGACATCATAAGGAGGGATTGTTTTTGTACACTGCAAAAACAATCTAGAAATAAATCAACATTTCTTAAATTAAGTGTATTTTCCCCTCATTTGAGCTGGTAAATAAGATGATCTGCCAATGGAAAATGTATTTTATTATTAGATAATATGCATTTTAAATGTAAATTGTCTTGTTCCATTGGCAAAGTGTATCACCTCCTCAATTCAAGAACAAATTCACTTATTTTTAAGGAAAATTGACTTATTTAGATTTTGATTTTTTTCTAGTGCACAGCTGTTGATATGCAGACATCTAGATGGGGACAGGATGCCGTCTGCCTCAGAGATTTACATTTTAAAACATTTTAGAGTATTTTACTATTTAAACTCTATATCATCGGGGCTTAAGTTAATCGTAAACAATTGAGATAACGGTACCTGAACATGTTTTACTACATTATAAACTAGACTGGGTTTTTGATAAATGGTCTGGTCAGTTTTAATTAGCATAACATAAAATGAGAATAATCTGAAACTGCATGATTGCTTAAAAATACTGCATAGAAGGCACATCTGTCTAAAAAGTTTAAAGGTCAGAAAAAATGTAAAAAATAAAATTTTGGGTAATTGTTTGAAGTAAAAGTGAAATTTAGCGTAAACAATAGTGATAAAGTATACTTGTCCTATGACAATATTAACTAATGTATATCTAAAAGTTAATGAACTACACTACAAAAATGATCTAAAAATAAGTAGAAACTTCTTAAATTAAGTGTATTTACCTTTAATTTGAGTCGGTAAATAAGATGATTTGCCAAATGAATTAGTATTTTTACTCTTAAAATAAGATAATTAGATAATATGTACTGGAAATAAGATGTTTTATTTTCTTATTTTAAATGTAAATCATCTTGTTCCATTGGCAAAGTGTCTCACTTACCTCTAAATTTAAGAAAAAAAATTCACTTATTTTTAGAAAAAATAACTTTAGATTTGTCAATATCAGGGCACAGAATCTAAAACATCACCATTTTTAACTACCAGCTGATTTAAAAATAAGCATTACAGAAACTATGTCTTTTCATCATGGAGATGGGTTACCACACATAAAATGCTCAAGTAATGAGAATACCTGCATTCACTTCACCTGCAGCTGTGATCAATACCACATTAGATGGAATTTCATTTTGTACAGCTCTCGTGACATTTCCATTTCTTAAAGTGAAGCAGTGATTAAATGTTAACATTGGAGGAAAAAAACATGGTTAAAAAAAAATATTGATGCAGAGGCTGGCATCATTTAGATTTCTGTTTCTCTTTTTTAACATTCTGCTTTTTTTTCCAGTTTTTCTTTTACAATTTTTTTTTTTTTACATTCATTCTGATTACGATGGGGAAGAAGTTGTTTTGGGACCTGCTGGACCTGCATTGAATGCTGCGAAGCCTCTTCACAGAGTACAGCAGGGAGGGATCATTGATAAAGTTACGGGCTCAGAACATGCAACGCTGGGATGAAATGTCTTTTATGAAAGAAAGAGGATCCCCGATGTTCCTCTCTGCAGTTCTCACTGATTCCTCAGCTTCTTCCAGTCTGCGGTGCTGCAGCATCCATACCATAGAGTGAGACAGCAGGCAGAACGCTCTCTATGGTGCTTCTATAGAAGGTCGTGAGGATGGATGTAGGCAGGTGGGCTCTCCTCATTCCTCCACAAGCACTTTTGACCAGTGAGGTGGTGTTTACAGTCCAGGTGAGGTTATCTGTGATGTGCACCCCCAGGAATTTGGTGCCGCTGACCACCTCTACAGCTGAGCTGTGGATGAGTAGTGGAGCTCGGTTAGGTCGGTTCTTCCTGAAGTCGACAATGATCTCGAGATCAACTCGACTCTGATTACTTTGAGGAGTGATACACTGAAAGAATTTTGGGAACAGACAACTTTAATCTCAGCTATGTTTATCATTTGCCTTTAACTCAGACCAGGATAATTCTTGATTTTGAGCTCATTGTGATTTTAGTCGTTTGATTTATTTTTATTAGATTTTATGAAGAAAAATTTAAACTTTTTGCATCAGACCATATGAAGATCAGGTTTTAATCAACTTTTGCTTTGAATATAGAAAGACTCAAGACCTGATTGGCTTCCAAGCTCCTTACATTAGAATGTTACGGTAATTATTGGATTCAAAACGGGTCTTCTTGCTCAGATTGGCCGAGAGCAGGATTTTCCTGGGTTCACCCAAGTTTTTACTACCTTTTAGAGAAGGTTGTTTTTTTTTGGTGGAGAACGGCTCAACCTGTCCTGTGACTTCCCCTACTGTGACTGAATGATTGGTAACTTTGGATGGATGGTTTATCCATGATAAGCAGTTACACTTAGGAGGCCCTCCAGGTGGGTATGAGAGTAGATGAACTTGAACATATTAGAATATAGGCTTAGGTTACCTTGTCAAATGTAAATTAAATGCTGAAACCGTGGTCTTGAGTGAAAACAATTGATATATGTTTTATTGTGACTGTAATTGATCCGTGATTAATGTGACTATTTCATCATCAGGGTGACTGCTGATTGTTTATTGCATGGTTCTATGATATTGAGAGATTTTTTTCACATATTGCTTCAGGTTTTTCCTTCTCTTTTGATGTCCTGATTTGAACATACAGAAATGGGTTATGGACATACCAATGCTTGTTTTAAAGTAACTGTAAAAACCCTAAAAATACCTGCCTGTTAGGTGTTAAGGCTAATGTTTTCCAAGGAAGTTTATCTAATAAGGACAGTTCTTTCAGGATAAAACGTTATCATCTTTATTATGTACATATCAAAGATTTGGGATTGAAATGGGATCACAGTGGATAATTTTGAACAGCGCGCTCTCTGTCACTGGGCATTCAGAATGTCCCTTATCTAGAACACTGCATAATATCTAATACATAACCATTATAAAGTGTTATTTAAAGTTTTTTTCCCCCAAAGATCTCTTCTTAGGAAAAAAATCGAGTAGAGAATGCTTATAGCTGGAAACACAGAGCTTTCCTTTACAGTCAGAACACCTGTTGTAAGACATCCTTGTTATTTCTTCAGTTGATAACATCTATGGCAAAAAATTTACTAAACAGACTGAATTTGTAAACTTTTCCACTAAATAACAGGTATGGCATGTTTTAAAAAAATTTCTAAATATTATATTATAAAAAAAATGGACCTTGGATCGCTATCATTGACCTCCCCATTTTATGTAGTCCATATGTTGGCCCCGAACACTGAATTCTTTCCTTTTCTTTATCAATCTACAATTTTAAAACCAGTGAATCCTAATGGGCTTGTCCGTCATCTTTTTTTATACTTGACTGAGGATAAAGTTTTCTTTTTAAAGAAATTAATCTCAAATGCAATTTTTTTTTAGCATTTTTTTTTATCTGGATCATATCATTTTTCCTTGTGCAACTACTAAACACTAAGGTCTTTATTAGAGTTATGCTTTAAATCTATTTTGTAACTGTAGAACATGCAAACACTGCATTCTTTACTATTTGGGAACTTGTTAACCACCAGTTTTATAACATCTGTTTAATTTTGTAACATTTAATATGGTGTGCAGATTGTGATATGTTAATCCAGGCTGAATGGGGCTTTGGTGTTGATGGAAATGTGCGGCTGCTGCATATGTCTGGAATATAACTGTAATTTTAACACATGAGGATGAAGAGAGACGGATTCCAGTCTGCAGAGAGGCTCTCCTCCAGCCGGTCGAGGGGTGAAGTCACTCCACGCTCATATGTCCCCTCTGCACCGGCTACTTCTGTCACCTCTTCACGGATGGAAGTTTTCACAAACACGCTCGGATCATGTGACGCAGAAACGCAGACTGCCCCAATCATTAACACCGCCACACTCCGGCTTACATGGAAATGTGGGGAAGAAGCATGAAGCATAAGTTCATATTTTATTTCACTTTATTTCAAAGCTACACTGAAGGGAAAAAATTAAAATTAGACAAGAGACAATAATATAGGAAACATCTGTGTACAGAGTAAATAAAACTTTCTGGCCCTGAGTTAAAGGGATTGGCACTCATAAAATCTCAGATCAGCAAGACATCTCCAGCTTCAGTCTTTCTGGTCTCCAAGTCGAGGTTTGATCTGCAGCTTTCTCTCTGTGGGAGAACACAGAAATGAAAAAAAAAAGAAGCTTTAGTAAAGATGAAATGCTGTATTGTGTGACTGCCGCTGATCCAGTTCTTGTTGGATCCTGTTGAAACACTGAGCGATGATGTCTTAGCTGATGAGTAAATGAAGAAGAGAGCGGGACAGCGGGATGGATGGAGGAGCGTGCAGTGATACATCACGCCTGAGCTCATTTAAGCAAAGTGAAGAGGAGCTTGCTTGGCCAAGTTCTACCTTTGATGAGGCTCTGGGTGGTGCAATGTGTTACTCATGGAGCACACAGTCATTAGTAATACTTAAGAGCCTAAAGCAGCTGGACCGCAGGCGCAGAGGGACGAGCAGGAAATTTCTGCTCTCTGTCTACATGCAGTGATGTTTAGCTGGTTTGGGGGGTAGGTGTACAAACCCATGATCAGAGAGTGTGGATGAAAAACAAGAAACAAGAGAAGTCCCCAATTTTCCTTCCATTCAAGCACATATTACAGTCATGGTCCAGATGAAGAAGGACCAATAAAAAAAATAAATAATAAAGATGTAAAAACTAAAGAGTTTGGTTTATAGATGCTTTATACGTCTGAACGGTTCCAATAGTTCTTTCACAAGAAACGATGAGTGATACACATAAGTAACATGCACACACTCGAAGGGAAACATGTTTCAAATCTTAAAAATCCTACTGAATGCATGTTGTTATCCGTGAAAAAAGCACCTCTCCATAAAATCCTGAAATTCACACCAAGCAGCACAATGGACAGATCCATTGTGGAAAAATATCAGGGACAAAACTTTGGACATGCACAAGGATGAATGGCTTCCAACATCAACAATAACTCTGGTGAGAAGGAAGCCATTCTCTGTGAGATTATTAAGATGTACGTTAAATATAAAATAACCATTAGGGGTCGTTGTTCTGGAGCTCCATGAAGGCTCTTACTTTGGGGAAACAATGAGCAGGAGTAAAGCTAGGAAATGATCTACTACTACAAGGAAGGAGCTTGATGCAGAGTCGACTAGAGTTAGGTAACACTCTATGTCCCGCAGACCTTTGCTATAGAAGGTATCTTAGGTTTACCAGTAAAGATCCTAATGATTCCGCAAAAGGCTTAGAGATTAAATGCTCTGGGAAGCTAAGAGTGAAATCTAGCTAAAGAAAACTCTCCATGTTTAGAGCAGTCATATCTCCACACTCATGCAAACAAGGTGAAGGCATCATGCTTTAGAGCATTTAGCCATTAATGAGTCAGATGACATCACCTTATGCAGAGGCTAAAAGACTTTACAATTTACCCTAAACTCTTGAAAAAGAATCTTCTGCAGTCAGTATAATAAACATCGACATCTTTAAAGATGACAGTGGCGTAAGACCCACAGAGGAGGGAGCAGAGGAAACATGGAATAACAGCAGCAGCTGAAAACTAGCAACCAAGAAGCATCCAGAAAACTTAAAGGATTCTGAGAGTTTCTGGACAAATAAAATGCGAATCAGACCTGTACTGTGTAGAGGATGGTGACCAAATATCTAGGCTGTTTAATGTTCTTGATCATGTTTTGATATTTTTTCATAGTAATTAATCGTTTCAATACTGGGTTCATATTTATTGCCTTCTTAGATGAAACAAACCTAGTTGGGTCCTAGTTTTTGGTTTGTTTTTAGTTTGTCCGCCTTTTAAGACCACAAAGAATTTCTTATATTATAATAAATGTCCTCTTAATGTAAAAGTAACTGACTAAGAAAAGAAGAAAAAATGTTTGAATAAATTTCATTTTAAAGACATCGGAACAAATATAAACTATAAGAACTCTGCTTCGCTTCTGTTTAATTTTATGTCCTGGATGACTGCTAATCTACACCACTGTGTTTGCATTACAGTGAAATGAATTCTATCAATTTGAAAAGAATTTGTATCAATACAAGTAGTTATTGTTCAGACCAGTGTCTCTTGCAAAAAGCCAGATGAGAATATTTGTTGTAACTTGAAGCAAAAAATAAATTAATAAAACAAGACAAAAAATTAGGTTAAAAATATTTATTTTATAGAAAAACAGCCCCTGACACCTCCATGGATTTGAAATAGGCTGATGTGGTTAGTGGGTCGGATTTTGTTTCTTTTAAAAACCTAATTGAAATAAATAAAATATCTGTGGGTCCTAGAAGTAAAAGCAGAGTACAGCTGATTTTGTGGATCCTCTGGATTCATTACACATTTTCAGTCCTATTTATAACACAATATAACATTTTTCTTTCCTCATTTCTTACGGGAAAGGTCCTGCTGTGGCTCATGTTTGTTTAGCTTCCGTCGGATGATGGTATGAGCATGTGCGTGCCTGCCCTGAGCAGATGGACGGTTTGATCCCAATGTTAGAGAGGTGAGAGTGATCGGGCCAAAGCGGCCTCTCCCCCAATCCTCTATCTGTCAAATCTGTCAGCAGAGAGCCCAGCCGAGCTTTGGTTGAGTCCAAAAGCTAAATATTATTACCTCTGTGCTTCGTCCACAGAGGAACATCACACTGCCTGATCTGACTGACCCCAGCTTCTGTTTTAAGCTCAGTGGGAAAACCAAAAGATTTTAGGCTGATTATGACTTAAAATATTTAAATGTGTTCAGTCCTCATTAAAGACTAAAGGTCTCATGCAATAACTCCTTCTATGAACAAATCCATTCTTAAATTGTTCTAACAAGTTATTTAGGATAAAAATGTTCTCCTATTTCTAATCTTCTCTCAGGTAAGAACATTTAAGGAGTGCTCTAAACTTCATGTAGGAGTCTTGCACAGTCCAAGCCCAGTTTTTCCCTAATTGACTATATTTGCTTTATTTAGAAGCAATTGTCTATTTTATTAGTCTACACTATATAGTATGCAACTCTGCAATTATAAATTACATTTTAGATGCTGTTGACAGAAATATTGGTCACTACACTTGCAGATGCTAATGGATTAGATATACTTTATGGATCCCTGCTGGAAATTAAAGTGCAGCAGCAAGGCAAGGAACACGAAAAATAACAATAAATTGGTTCAATATGTTGTACTTTTGTCCAAAGAAAGAACAGTCAGAGATCAAGCTAAAACTGATATAACATCTGGAACAGAGAAATGATGGAACATTTAGCAAAACTCCACTAACAGTAAGACTTGCATTCATTTCCCTCAATGACAGCTCCTTGGTTTTATTATTTCAATAAATGCAGAGCGTTTGGGTCTGTGTTCATCAAAGTAGAGTTTCACTTGTTTATGTTTATGTATGAAAGAGATGGACAATACAATGAAGGGATGGCAGATGTACGGTATAGGTGTGTGTGTTTATTGAAAGGAGATTTTGTAGAATAATGTGTCGTATTGGTTGATGGTGAACTCATATTAAAAATGTACAACATAGGTTGCACCTTGCCTCCATCAGAAGTTTTCAGAGACTGTTTTTGGATCAAATAAGCTTTTTTATTATATCATTTTTATTTTATTTTTTATTTTATGTTTACCTCTCCAACAGCTGTATTCACAGCTATTTCAAATAATTTGTCACTTCTTTGCTTTTTACTGATTCTTAAATGCTGCTGCTCAGCTCTTAGTCAGTAGATCCTCAATCTTCAACCCACTAAAGTCTTTATTCTTCGTCTTAAGGCCATTTCTTTGAATGAAAACCTGACAGTATGGGAAGCATGCCTTATATGGCATTATGGGGGTGGAACAAACGCTCACGGACAGGTAGTATACATCAGGTTTATGAAGATCCTTGATGATCATTTACTGAATCAAAGACAATGTTGGCATGTTCGTAAAAGATACAGAGATAAAGTACGAGAAATTTACAAGAATACGAAAATGTTGCTGCATGAGGCCCATTTTTTCTAAAACTAGTACCTGTAGACACACCCTGATGTTAGTCAGGTTTAATAGATGTAAAGAATCTTTTATTCTAAAATATTAATTATGATGTGGATAAATTAAGATACACCATTAGAAAATTTGTTTTAAAAACAAAAAATAAAAGTTTAAAAGTGATGTTTAATCTCAATCTCCTTTGTGGAAAATAAGGTGATTATTTACTTAACCCATTTCCAGAGATCTCACAGCATCTCAGTGAGATGACGGCCTTGCCTTTGGCTCTGCCCAGAACTCTGCTATATTCTCTCTGGGTACTCATTCAATTTACTGTAAAGTTTTAGGCCAGAGTCGTATTTGTTTGAATCCGCTTCAGCTTTATTAACTCTTACAGATGGTCAAAACTATTCCTCAAGCAACCACTGATGATACACGGTAGAACGTTGATGAGTCTAGTATGGCTAGTTGGCCTGGTCCTACTGCTGCAGATCATTAATGTCACCACCAGCTCTATGGAATGTTATGTTTGATTTACATAAAATATCCGTCGTCGGAGTGTCAAAAAAAGTAAACCTATCTTTCTAAAGAACGTTCTTCTAGAAGTCCTAATCTTGATCCGTGCTCTCAAGGGAAAACACTGCTCTGGCTTACATGTGTTTTTTACTCTCATTGAAGTTAAACTTGGGCATTCTCCATCTGCAGTGATTCACTGATATATGAATAGTTGATAAAACCCTCATGTAGCACCTCTTGTGGTGGTTTTGATTTTTAGACTTCTTTAAACATCTTACAGCCTTGAAGAAGCTGCTTGGACAGCAAGAGCCAGGCATGTTCTTTGCTTGAAATGTCTTCCTAATTTTTGTATAGTTTCTATATACTTAAAAAAATATTCTACAAATTATTATTTTGAGACCTCTTTATATCCCTTAATACAGATCAGCAGCTACAGTCTTTTATTAGGATCATCAGTCTGCTCTGCATGACTGTTTCTTTATCGTTCAGCTTGGTGGTAGACTTACCTTTTTTTAATGGCATTGTGTTTGATTCTGAATGACAATGTATTTGTTAGTTAGCAGTGTTATATACCTTTGACTTGTGTTGCATTGTTAAGTGGTGAATGCGGTGCATCTGCTTCCTCTGGTGAGCTGGAGAGAGAGATGAAGGATGGCAGAGCTAGAGGACCTGCAATGGGTGTTCCTGGAGCTGCCTGAACGTCCTGCGGCATTACAACAGAGAGATGAGGCCTAGAAGAAAGAAAAACAGATTTGTAGGAACCACAAAACAAAATAAAGAGTTCATTGGTTACAATGGGCCAGGTGTAAGATCAATCTCGTTTTCTAACCTCTGCATTGGCTCCTTAGAGCGAACTTTCTTGCTCGGAGTGGCGGAGGTGCTCCCTGCGTTTCGTTTGAGCCGCTGGCGGTGCTGCAGTTTACAGCGAGAGCCTCGTGGACAGGAGCCGTTCTTAGAGAAGTCCGGACACACTAGAGTGTGTTTCTTCTTACACTAATGAAGGAAAACACCCAAAGTTATGTTATTTTTCAGCATTTAAAAACACTGGCAAACCAATACAGATTGGTTACTATGGCCAAAATACTGGTTAACTAGTATAGCAACTTTCAGTAGTTTAAACCAGGTCTCGTACAAACAACCACTAGATTGGAAGGCAAAGTCTTACAGCAAACGCCATTTGCCATTATAACTGAAAGCAGTGCCCCGCTCATATTCTGATCATGATATTGTTTAATATAACCAAATTGCTTTAAAACAATCAATCTATTCTTAGAATATATCCAAACGTTATCCAAATGACAGCAGCTCTCCTAGAACCTCTCACATCTTGACTGAATACTGAGGCTGTTTAAATGCCTGTTGAAGCTCTAGGGTGAGCTGAACCCCTTGCCGAAGCGGTTACATGATACGGCAGTGTAGCGAGGCTTCGAAAGTAATCAATTTTGGCTCCTCCCTGAAATGAAGCAAAACTTGATACGTGCTTCGCGGAAACACACCTTCCACTGCTCGATACACGCCTCGAGGCCTCGGCTCATTTCATAACATCAATAGTTTGTTCAATTCTTTCCAGACAGTGATCTCTGGTCAGAGCGTTTTGAGCGTTTTTTTATTTTGCCAAATTTCATACACAAGACACATTAGCTTCAGCTGTTTATGTACTTGAGACACATGTCCTTGTCTAAATCTACTCGCGTTAATTTTATACAGCTAATGAAGCCCTTGATTGATTGCATAGGGAGTAGAACAACACAGAATTTGGAAATGTTTGCTTTTAAGCACAGTCATGACAAGGGGTTGAATAATTGTAAAACTGCATCACTTTTTTAAAGCAGGACTTCGTGTTGATTCCGGATAAAACTTGTAAAAATTAATGTTATTTAACTGTGTATACCGTTCTTCTTTAAAATGCCTATTGCAAACAAATTTATTAAACTTTGCCTAATCTAAAGTGGGGTTCGAATAACTTTAGATGCGATATCAGTTCAAATTTAGCAATGTGCCATCTACCCATAGGGTGGCACACAGCAATTTTTATTTAGCCTTACATCACTAATTTACGACTTTACTGCAAAACATGATCACTGAAGCTTAACCCAGTGAATATAAGACACACTTGCTGGCAGAGTTTAATCAGTAAAACTAAACAGTAACTTTATTACAGAGTGACTCAATCAAAAACACAAACATCATCATTGAGACTGTAAGTTTTTTTTTTTTTTTCCTTTCTCCCAGGTTGGGCTCTAAATTGCACCCTATCCCAAACACATCTCAAGTCTCCGCTAAGTGCGGAGCCCATTCCCCCCATGTCCTGCTCTCCCTCCGCTGGCTGGCGTCGGGGCTCGCCGGTGCACTGGTGGAGCACAAGGTTTGGGGGTGGATGCCCGAGTGGCTGCTGGCTCATTCCTGGCGGCCTCTCCGCAGGCCCCGGCCGGCCGGGGCCTTCGGGGCTCCTGTCTGGGGGCCCCTGGGGCCTCGAATCCCTGGGGCCCAGGGCCGGATTCACTTCAGGCTGGCTGGCTGCCGGCGGAGCCCGCGGACTCGTCCCCGCGGCTCCCCGGGGCACCGGCATTGCGTTGGCTGGGGGGCTTCCTCAGGGCTGTCTCTCCTCCTCCCTTGGTGGGGGTCTGATTTCCTGGCCCCTCCTTGGTGCCTTCACTCTTGGGGTCCCTTTGGGCGTCTGGGGCTTTGGGTCTCCCGGCGCTGGACTCAGTGCTCTGGGGGGGCACCTCTTCGGCTCTCCACAACCAATATTGAGCATTTTCTCTATCAATAAACTTTACATGCACAAGTGCACAAACAACTACAGGTAGTTGGTTCCAGGTACTCAGAGATTCACTTCCATTCAGAAAGCCCACATTCATATCTTCAGGTAACATAGAGTACATGTCAGACTAAATAATACTACCTTAGCGATAGTTTCAAGGTGTTGCTTTATTGTATGTCTCGTACCATGTCTTGTGCTACCATGTGCTGTTTTTTTTACATCTCTTTGCAGGTGATGAAGCAGACTGAAAATGTTTTGTCATTGTCTCCTTTCTATCTCCTCTTTCCTTCATCTTTTCTTTTTTTTCTTTTTCTTCTTCTGTTTTTCCTATTCTGCTCTATTTACATTGCATTGTCCATATAAACTGTAAAACTCCCTGCATAATTATAATAAAGTAATTTATATGAATGAAACAATTGGAACACTATGGCAATTGCCATACTGCTACACTTGTGAAAGTAAAATCTGTTGGGCTCCTTTTGGCATCAAGACAATTATTCTTACCACATTGCCAGACAGGACACTGTTTAAAAAAAACAAAAACAAAACACAAACATCTCATCTCATGCACCTAAAATATGAAGTGTTCCTTTTTAAACATTCTTTCTGCAAAGCTGGTTCAATTTAAAGAGATTAACATAATCTTACTACAAGACTGTCTAAAGTGGACAGTTTTTGGTAGGCCTACAGTTGCACGGGAGATTATGCAGATTGACTGGGGGCCTCTTTCTGTGAAGAAACGACCATTAACAGGGTTTTACACTCTGTGGAATCTTGGAGATAGTTGATCATTATTTGCTGCAATGTGTTTGTGAGTAATTCCAATCAAAACACAAAGAAAATATATAACTTTTAGGATGAGATTGTGACCAAATCAAGTCAAACAATGAAGATGATTTTTTGTCCTTTTACAGTGTAAACCGACCAACTCTTAAATCTTAAAACGAATCTTGAATTTTTCTTGAAAGTTTATCCATTTTGAAACCAACAAATCAAAAACACAAAACATGTAAGCAGATCTATATTTTGCATTAAACTTAAAGCATTCTTGTGAAGCCCTTGATGATTTGTTGGCCCCAAACGGCAGCTTAGTTTATTGGCCTTGGGCCAGCTAAGTATTTTGGAGATATTTCATGGAGTAAACCACAGATTTTATTCTGACTCAGCAGAATTTGTTGTTACAAGGCAAGTGAGATACAAGACAAGAAGCTGAATGAATAATAATAATAATACAGATTTGAAAATTGCACACTGAAACAATATGCACTGAAGTTTATATTGGGGGCAAGGAAGTGTAGGTCCAATAAAGAGTAGGTCCAATAAAGGTTTCAAAGTAATTACATTTTAAACCTGAACAAGATTTACTTCATATTAATCATTGTTGAAAAATTAACAGGTGATGGCATGCTAAAAGAGTCTGTATTCTAAGTAACTGCTTTTATAGTCACATCACCTTTTAATGTATAATTAGAATAAGTTGTTTTAATTTAATAACATTCAGAAGAGGGCAGTGCATGGGAGTGTGAGCGTTCGCACACATGTTTGCAGCTGAGTGTGTCCGAGTGTGTAATACGGGTGTAAATTGGTAGCTTCATTCTCCAAGAGATCTGATCCCTCCCACCTGTCAGAGAAGCTAATTATATTCACTCCGGAGTGCAGGCTGCCCAGTGTGTGTGTAGGGAAGAGAGATCGATTTTCCAGGAACATTGTGGACTCTGGGTCCACTCCCTCTGGAGAGTTTTGGGGGCCCCAGACTCTGCTATCAGAGCCCCTCTCACCACCCTCACACCCATGTTCCTGTGCCCCTCTGGGAGACAGGGCGGGCAGGGATCAGCTCGCTGTCAAATGTTTCTCCGGATCATCTTATATCCCTTATAGCCTGCGGTTTTGACGCAACATTTCACTGAACAAATCATTGCTGCCGCAGGTGTCAGAGATGACAATCGTGCTCTGTTTGGTTCAGACGTCACTACTCAGCCCACTGAAGGCTCAGATGTTGTGAAACATTTTATGGCTTTGGCTAAAGAGATTTCTAAAAATAATATCTAAAACTCACCAGTGATGTTGCTGTAGATGTAAATGAAAAAATATATTGTTCACAGCCATGCACAGATTTGTGCAACTAAATCTTAAGATGGCCATCAGCTTTTGAACTGCAGCTGCAGGTTTGATGCGTTATGTCATAAAGAGCTTTTTTTCATGCAAAGTTTCAAGCATCTGATACCTGCCTTTTTATTTAGACATGAGTAAACAAATAATATAATATATAATATATTATAATTATATAATAACAATAATAATAATAATGATATATTTTCATATATTTGGACAATTTAACTCATACAGCCAGGGTAAGCTGTTTTTTTTTAAAAGCATTGTAAAGCATTTTTCCCTTTGGACAACTTTTGGAATGCATTCTACGGAGCCCCTAAAGGGACATAGAGGGAAAAAAAGAACTTTTGCGAGATCCCACAATAGTTTTGCAAAAAGTTATTTTTTCCCTCCATGTCCCCTTAGGGGCTCCGTAGGATTGCATACTGACCTTGTCTCTCTTCATTCATGTAATGTCGTGTTTTGGGACTTCTCTAGAAATTAAGAACCTCTCCAACTCATCCTCCATTGTTGTAGCTGACACATGGGCGTATTATCTTCCCATAGCAGTACACTGTTGTGTGTCTGTTTTACTTCCGGTTCAGTGACATGGCAAAACGTTTTGCGAGATCTCGCAAAAGTATTGTGGGATCTCGCAAAAGTTTATTTTTTTTCTCCATGTCCCTTTAGGGGCTCCGTAGCATTCAATAAAATATGTTGTCTTTTTTCCATTATAAGGCAAAGCATCCTCCACAATTATATGTAACCACTGGGGATATTGTTCAGAGCATATGGCATATGAAAGTCCTTGATAATAATGATATTGATAATTACAGAAGGAGATTGTTTACCTATTTGAAATGAGGACAAAGGGAAAAAAAGATTAGCTCTAACACCTTGCTTGGTTTAAGAGTGAGAGATTGACAGGTTAAATCCCTTCCTCCTCCTATATCCCCCCAATATCATGTGGTTGTAAATAGGTGTTCAGTAGAATAATTACATCATTTAAATAAATATAAATTTATATTTATGCCAGCCCTAATAGTTTCTGGGTCAATTTTGCAGGAAAATAATATCAAAATAAAGAATCAAACGAACAGAGAAATAGTTCAAGCAGAATTCAAATCTACATTCTTTC